CTTTAAATTAGTTGCTAAAACTGCATAGCTGCTAATTCAGGAGAAAATGTTCGAGGTCATAATAGTCCGCCCGCGGACTTTTGTTGATGTTGCCACAGAACAATTATCGAACTTGGATCAATACTTTATCTTAGTGACTATAATATAATAACAGTAACGTGGAAACATGCCGATATGAGAGTAATAAATGAGGTTACAACAGCAAACGGAGCAGTTGTGATTCGACACTAATGACGATACTGAAAATGTGACACAATAACAATTTGATGACTAATCATACTATTTGCATTTCATCTCAACGGATGGAGTTTTAGCAGAAGGAAATAGAGTCTGTCAATGTATTTTGAGCTTTTAGAGAGATGGAAATAGAATTGTGCTCAACAAGAGATTTTGAAAAGCTGCTTAGTGAATACAATTCAATAGAGGTGCTTATGAAAACGACTTAAACTCAAAAGGAAATGCAGATGGAGTTGCGCAATAGCTTGTGAGTAAAGCATTTGTGAACATGGTGCTATTGCTTCTAAGAAAAGTGCATAGGAATTCAATATAGAAATTCCAGTTATTCTGTCCCACAATTTCTTCTAGATATATCTCTTGAATGTAACAGCTTTCTACTTTGATCGCTGGTTGCGTGCAACTCGTGGATTCGCTTAGTTGCAGCATTCCCCATTAACATTGCTGTGTGGATCGATGTGCATTTTCAGCGCCTTTACTCATTTCGGAAATTCTGAAGTGCGAACATCTTAAATAGAGAAGGAAAAGTTGAAGCCATTTGTCTGCTGAAGTTTTGCCATGATCAGCCTGAAACCGTTCGAGAGAAGCGCGTTGTTCTCCGCTAGATCTGTACCATTGTGAATAACAAGGTAGTAATCATTACATAGAAAACAAAGTTTTATCTGTCAATAACATAAATTTTCAGTCCTTCAAATCAACGTACTTTCTACTTTATGTTGAGTTTCAGTCATCCGACAGCTTAATCTTGAAGTTCACTGCTGTAATTTTTTCTCTATCCAGTGAGCTGTAGCACTAAAACAAAGTTACATTCCCACTCAGCGCGTTTTTGCCAATGTTTTGTAATTTATATAGAAATTTTTCTCTGTATCGTAGAGAGATCTGGGTTTTCTGTATTGTGATTGTAGGAAAATTTCCAATCTATCATTCTGCGAGCTTAAGCTTCTCATTGTCATTTTACAATACCAATTAGACCCACTACTAACTTTGAACCGAGGCAGTCTAAGCCTATGTACGAAAACATATGACCGTTTAGAACAAATCTTGGAAAATCAGAATCATGTTTCATTTAAAGTTCATCTATGACGAAGAAAAACCTTCAATCTACTAACAAAAATCGCGCGCCACATATCAATCGCGCTGTGTGACCAATCATTCGCGTGATCGATACACAGTCAAAGGCATAACATGTTTTGAGCTGTTAGGTCCAGTGGTATTCAGGCGCCTGTTTCGTCCTATTGGGGTTATTAGTACCACCCTCACTCGATTCAGCCGATCCCTTGAGGTTGAATAATCCTCTATAAAGGAATGTACGCCGAGTAAAAAAAAAATAGCTACGTGCTCGACCAGGTAACTACAACATCGGAGTTGGGATTTTTTACTCGGCGTCGATTCCTTTATAGAGGATTCTTTAACCTCAGGGGATCGGCTGAACCGAGGGAGAGTGGTATTGATTTTTTCTACTAGGACGAAACAGGCGACTGTATACCACTAGACCTATCAGCTCAAAACATATTAATCCTTATCACACTATATCATTTTGAGCGGGTCTATAAAAAAGCGATCGATAGAAGAGGTACAGTACACATTCACTCACACACTCTGAACGAAAAATTACGCGAAGTGCGAATTCGAATAGTCTTTGGTTGCTCTACCACACTTTCGAACTTTTTATACCTATCTAACTAGATTCGTTTCAATTTTTACGAACAGATTCTTTGTTGCGCGTCAATAGAAGTGCCCTACAATGCACACTGCATCGTTGCTTTTTCGATTCCACGCCTTATGACTCCTAGACACTGCAGCATTCTGGAGCAGGTAAACTGTTATGAGACTTGTCTGATAGGATTAAGTAGATCTAGATTAGTATATCGACATAAGCGCAAGTTTTTGTAAAGACTACATATTTCCAGACAATGCATATAAACTTCCTTGTTCAGGCAATTTGCAGTGGTAATGTGTAACCACTACCCAAGGAGTCTTGTTTGAAATTTCTGTACTTCGTAACGAGTAATGAAGTCCTTAGATCGCCTACGAACAGTACATTGAAATCGAGTTTTCCAAAGGGTTGCTTCTGAAAAACGCTTCTTGGAAAATACACCCGTTTGTTACGCGTTTTCTTTTCCTTCTTTTGAAAATTTTTCTTACCTGGTATGTAGTCGACGGTTGCAACCGAGTGCATTCGTTTTCAGGCATTGATTTTGCTTCATGGTAATTGGTTCCGTTGATGACGACCCTATGAATGAACCAGAAATAAGCAAAGTTTGGTTGTTTGACTTTTTCTACCCTTTTTTCATTTCTTTCCAAGGAGGACCTGAAAAGCCCTTGCAAGGTTACGTCAGGACCAAGGAATTTTATTTCGCACAACCAGCAATATACCATTTGGAATAAGTGCTGGGGTTCGCACAATAGTGAAGACCGGCCATCTAAGTATCTAAGTTTTCATTTCATTTTTTTTCAACTTTTCAAAGTCATCTCGCTTTCCAACTTTCAACGTAAATGCTGAAATATTCATATCAGGAATTACTATAATATCATATTGGACTGTTCCATGATTTCTATCGCATTTCGACACTTCCTTTAAAATAATTGCAATTTTTTGAAGAAATCAATTAATCAGCAATAACCACCATCATGATCAATGATTTGTAATTATTTGGTGGCAAAAACTGGAGCCTTTCATTCAGAGAGAATGAGGCTGAGGATCAAAGAAAGTTAGTAAGGTTACTCTCGAGTTGATTGTAGTCTTGGATTTTTAGTCCCGCAGGGCTTCAGAGTGCAGAATAGATGATAATCCGATGGAGCAATATTAGGGCCATACGGTATATTTTGCTCCTTGGTTCGGCCCAGTTCCTCAAATGTGGGAGTCGACTTTGCAATGTAATTGTTATCAAGGAGGGCGGACGACACTGATTAGTTTCGGATGCTTCTCTCGCAGTCTTGCGAGCAACTTCAGGAGATGTTTCCCGTAAACGTCAAGAATGATTTCCCCTTTGTTGTCGCGCAGCACCTGATACAGCATGCCTTGCCAATGCCCAGAAAATTGAAAGCATAATCTTCCGAGCATGATATTTGGGTTTTGGTTGGGCTGGTGGTTCTTTGGCGAGAGGCAGCCAGTAGTTGTGGCGAGTGTTGTTTTTATAGTAGAACCAGGACTCATCCTCAGTGAACATCGACTTGAGAAAATACTGTCTATGCGATTGCTGCAGAAAACCTTCATAGATGATCATGCGTGCAGCGCGACTACAACCACTATCAATTGGTCTCTCCGTTAAAGATCATCAATTTGAAAGTGCTTAGAAGGAAAAGTAAAGTGAAGATCAGACACATACCTCTACATCGCTTTCAGCTACAGCCAATGCCCTCTTGGCCATTTCTAGCTGCACCCTCAGCGCGGCGTTTTCTTTCTCAAGATTGATGGAGAGCTTCTCCCATAGGGCGGCGCTTTCCTTTTCAAAATTGAAGCAAACCTTTTCCCTCAGAGCGGCATTTTCCTTTTGAAAAATGAGGAGGTATCAAGCCAATCGGCACTGAAATCAACATGGAAATAAGGAGTCGTTACCGTCACCATCAAATTGATCTTATTGCTTATGTGGCCGTTCGTCCTTAGCCGAGCCCCTGGCCAACGGAACAGATTTTCTTTCAGAATATTGAAAGACCTTTAAACATCAATCACATCACTTGATAACTTCAAACGGTAATCTTGATAAGAGTAAATGATGAAAAAAAGAGCAAACGACGGCGGACCCTCCTTGTAAAAAGTAATCTTTGTCGAGGCGCAGCGCCTGCCTCCCTCACGACGTTTTTGTCGGCCTTTAGACCTGTAGGCTTTCGTAAAACCTGAAATGATATGAAAATATCCGAATGCGGGAAATATTACTATCACCAATATGAAAATAACCCTAATGTCAGTCATTATATATCTTAAGTGGGAGTTCAAGGAACATACTTTCCACTTTCTTCTCATTCCTATTCAAATTGTCTTGCGTAGACTCCATTTTCATCTTCAGATCGCGTCCACTCATCCATCAGCGATCGCTCCCTGCCTTGGGTTTGCATAGTATGCTTGAAGACACCCTTGAACATGTATTTATAGCTTTTTCGAGACTAAATTTAATGATATGTGTATATGCCGTAAGCAATATCAACTAGTATCATGCTTATTTTGAAAAATACACGAACAATGATAATCAATATAGAAAGTGGTGAACGACGACTGAAATTAGCCGTTCGAATTACCTCATTACATTGCGCAGTGTGCTTGGGGTCCATGTACGAATCGTATCTGCGCTAGATCGTATAAAATGAGGCCGTGACAGATGCTGACGACACTGATGGGGCGGTGCCCATTTACTAAGTGAGAACAAGGCTGTGTATTGTGTATAGTGGCAGTCTCTAGTCGAATGGTTAGTGATGCACAGTATCAAGAAGCAATGTGCCATTGTGATGATTCGACCCTATCATCCAATAAGCTCTTACAATCACGTGGGAAAGGCGTAGCTTAGTCTTTTGGAGAATGTCACAAAGATCAGTACGGCCAGTATTTTGCTTGCGACGCGAAAGAAGACGATATTCTCAAGCTCCAGTCGAACAGAACGCAAAATTTTCGCAGAGCTGGACCGATGAATGGGAGGAAAAGAATCGAATGCTAGAAGTACTGCGATCCACGCAATGAAAGTGTGGTCATGGAATAAGATAGATATGCAAAATGCGGTTGGCTGTTGACAGATAACGCGTTGTAGCGCAGAAAAGAGTGGTGTGCAAAACAAGCGTCGGCGGTGCAACCGTTAAGCACACGCTCCCGAGAAGAGTGAGATCTGGGTTCGAATCCCGGCTGAGGCGAGTGCTTTTGCACAGCACTCTACATTATTGGATATATTACCGTTTTGCCTCATAAATGACACTCTTCGTTGGAGTGGATGTTTTCATTAGGGAATGAACGTTTCATACAAAATTTAAGAACGTGCGAATATCCGACATTCTCTTCTCCGTATTCTTATTTATAGGAGAAGTAACTATTAACTTCAGAAAACAAAATCTCAAAGCCACTATGAGCCAGAATCAATTTGAATTATTAATTTGTTTCTAAGAGGTTGTTACTGAATCACAATATCGACAAGGAGTACGATCGGTAATTCAACATCTCCGCACTTAGCTTACGGGGATGGACTTCGAAAGTCAGCAGGAGACGCTTGTCTCCAAAAGCGTTTAAGAGGATAGGACATCATAGAACCGTACGAACCACAGGCATGCGGAAACTGACGTCCAAATTAACAAAATAGTACAGAAAAGTGATAAAAGAAAGTAAAGGGGAAAAGCAGTAGATATAGGCGAAGTTTGCAAAAACTTACAAGAGCGTTAGCCAATGCTACCTGATACTTCGACAACTGCAAGACCGCAATGGCTGCACTACAACAACCACAGTTACGACCTCTACAAAGTTAGTGGAGAAATTGTGCATGACTGCCACTCGGATCCCGTCCAAAGTCATGTTCTTCTACCTCCACATGGAACAAAGGAGGATGGATTTGTAATTCTACTAGTTTCTCCGTTCAGGACTCCTCATGCTATCTCCTCAACGAAGAACGGAACAACACCTAATTTGAAAAGAATAAGATTTGTACACTAAAAGAATCTTTCACCAGCTCTTATCCACACCGTGGTTCTGCTCTTCACATGTTAGCTGTGGGAATACAACGTTCCTACTCAATCGAAGGCCGGCAAAAACTTGTCATTGTTAAATGAGAGACCTCCACGACATTGGAAGCTTTCACAAGACACGCTTGCTTCCTAGCGTCTGCAAACTCTTTGCTCAAGTCCTCCTGAACAGGGCGATAGATCACATTCGTGTGATAACAAGACATATAGAAGTTTGGGAGGTTGAAAGAAACCTCTCGTCTACTTTTATCTATGTGAAGAAAGCCTTTGATTTAATGAAATAAGCTGACATAGAAGCTCCGAACAGCCAAGACGTCTATATTCCTTCCAGTATTTTGGCAAGGATAATGGATACTTTTTGCTTTGTTGATGAAGTGAAGCAATATTCTGTGAATTTTCACCATTACGGCTAACGTTGCCGGAGTTTCGCCTTCAAAAGAATCAAGATAATACAAGTAGAGGGCTCATAGCAGTCGTCTTTCTTTCTATGCTGGTCTTCGCAGTTGTTGCACCGACGCGAGTGGAGTCGAACGGATCACCTCATCAAATGAAGTAGCGTTTTTAACGTTGTCAATTTATACGGGGTCCTAGCCGTGCTGAAGTAGATTGGAAAATTCGGCAAGCTTCCAAGGTACAAGACAGTCTTTGGCAACCGTACAAGTACAACATTAAGAGCGCCACTTCATTCGTGCGGTAATTTAGCCCACTCGATTAGTGCCGGTGCTTGGGCTAAAAACCAACATTGAAAGAGGAACAACTAGTAAATTCTACGCGAGTTATCGTGGATGTGACGAAGACAAAGTCGCCAAAAATTTCAGGATCACTATTTATAGGGACCTCAATTTGGGTCAGCAATGCAGAAAAATAAAGACATTATCATTGACGCAAACAATGATGGCCCATTTCGACAACGCTTGGGAAGTTTGATCTCCGAGCCAATTTTACGTATAGTCCATGTAGTAACTCCTTTTCCAACTGGTTATTATTAATTTATGTTGAGGACGCTACAAGACTAATTGCATTAATCGCTTCGTGTAAAAACTCTAGCGTCGAGGAGTGGCAACAAACTAATGACTCAGATTGTATGGCAGGATACACGCTGGCCATAATAATGCTTCCATGTCTCGCAGGAAATTTCTCACAGTTACAGATGATAGTCGTTATTAGAACACTTCTTCAATCACAGGCCATTTCTTATAATCGTATCGTAACTCTCTCATGGCATCGACTTCACTTCCGCTATATGTGCCAAGTATGGAAAAATTTGTTTTTATGGACATTAGTAGCTGTCTCATCATTCGTCATACATCGTTTCTTGGAAATAAATGTAGAGATGTCTTTAGCTTAACAGTGCAATTCAAATTTTCAGACTAGAGACCTGCTGAATAAGTCTACGAGGCGTTAATTACTGCGGCGGAGGATTCCTAAATGCGTTGCCTGCTTCTTCAATGAAGACAAGGTTTGTACACCACCTTCTTCATAAACCACGGTGTAGCGTATATAGCGCCGCTAAGCGACATAATACGAGTGTCCACTCCGGTGCAACTCATCACAAGACAGACGTAGCGATTAGCTATGGAACTTGCTATCCACGGCCATTATCGTATGATTATTTATCTAGTCATTGGGTCGATATTGTTATTATGGAGTCGTAATGTGTCTTATTTTTGCAGTTTTGCTTATGAAGGTCGTTTTGAAGTATATTACGAAGATTCGCATGGTGGACAGTATCAGCACAACCAATCAAACAATTTACTTCAAGACAAAGCTTACACATTCATTACTAAAACCGCTACAGTTCATGAGGAACGAGCTGGTTTCAAGCGACTCATTCGCGCCCAACTCAAAGAATATCTTTCAATGCAGACCATGCGGCGTTTTCCAAACGCGCATTTGAAGGGCTGATGCGAGGAGTGTCCCATGTCTTGGTGAAAAATTAACATGAAGTTCAGCCTAACTCATTTATGGAATGTGAAAAATAGCCGTACTAATCTCAAACTTTCGAAGATTAGGTAGACTAGACATGTGTTGCATTCTAACAAGAACCGACAAGAAACAGGTACTCACTGCATTCCTCGAGAAATAAAGCGTATCGCAAAATAACCGCCTACGTAACGGACAAACTCTGGCTCTTTTCCATCATAGGGTCAAAAAATCGTGCGCTACACGTGGATCGCGCTGCGCAACCAAATCGCCCGCTCAATATGCAGTCACTCAGACACCCTAGCCGACAAGAATTACTCTTCAAGTGCGAGTCCGAACATTCTTTCAGCTGCTGTAGCGCACTAGATTGTCCTCACTTAGAAACCGTATACTATCATGTTTGTCAAGATATAAGCTATTAAATGATTACTGAAAGCCCACGAGAAAAGCCATGTGCGGAGGAAAATTGGCCGAAATGCGCAAACTTGATTTTATTTGCACTGCTATAGTGCATTAAGGAAGTCATGTCGATATAGATACTGCACAAAAATTTCGAGATCCAATCCATCGACTGATTACCAATACTCTGAAGAGCAAGAAACGCGTTCTCCCTAAAGGGTTGAAAGCGCGTGCAAACAGCGGAAAAGCTCCTGAAAACAATAAAATATTCAAACAAAAATGTGTAACAGACTATAAGATATTGATGAAGAATATTTTCGTTGAACATTTTGCATTCATGGTGTGCCTCTTTCCTACAAAAGCCGTCTTACAGAAGTCAAGTGACCTTTCAATTTGAAAATATAAAAATCACGAAATGTTCTTACTGCAGTTATCAAAATAGTCTTCACCCCACCTACTGTTTCACAATGTTCAGCGAGCAGTGAACAGAAACGCGGAGTACCTGCTCCGTGCTAGAATGATAGATTGCCGTTGTCCGCCATTACGACAAAAAAAATCCTGAACACAATAAACAACTAGGAGATAATCAATAGAGGCAAAAAGGTTTGAGAGAGTCAGATGAAAGGCACTGACCAATAGCGAAGCAGCTGTTACACCGCGCCTAATCCCACTCTGGCTATGGAGTTTATACGCTCAGAATGTTTAATGTAAAGGACTGAAGCAGCTGAGCAAAGACCGAATTTTGAGAGAGAGTTCGTCATATTTATTAGAAGAATTTTATCAATGGTTCTATGGCAAGTTTCTTTTGAATTATCAAGATTTCTTGGAAATCGTCGAATGTGAACGAGAGAGAAATACAGAAGTTATACGAAGTAGGTGCAGTGTTTTGAACAGCGAACATTAATGCGAGAGAACAGTCTTATAACGCATTTTGAAGCCTCAGTTTAGTATTACATTCAAAATATCTCTGAATGAAAGAAGTAACAAGAATAGTTACCTGACAGAAGCAGATGTAACGCAGAATTAACTGAGTCGACCGCCAACGACGCAGCGAATGCGAAGAATGACGTGGCGAGTGGTCCCACCGTGGGAATTATTGTCTTACACGTTTAGTAAAAAAAACTTTAATAACTGAGCAAAGCCGGCCCTTGAATTCATTTTTATTTACCCGCCTCTTGCGGTGGCATGATGTTTCGATATGCCCAATAATGTAGAGTGCTGTGCAAAAACGCTTGCAACAGCTGGGATTCGAACCCACACTTCTCTCTATTCTGGAGCGCGTGCTGAACCGTTGCACTACCGACGCCCGTTTTGACACCACTCTTTCTAGGCCACAGCATGTTGGCTGTCAACAGCCAACCGTCAACGGTCTGGCGTGGGTCTACGCTATCGACATTGAACCCTCTTATTGCTAACAACTAATGGGTATTGGTAATGAATTAGAATTCATTTTTATTTGAGTGTTTCTTGGAAAGATGATGTTTCAGTATACCCAATGTGAAACGGTTCAGCATGAGCTACCGGGTGGAATTAAATGTGGATTCGAATCTCACCTGACGCAAACGTTTTTGCACATCACTCTACATCATTGGGTATATTGAATAAGATCTAGGGCAATCTATGGGTGACTCAATGGTAATTTTAGATCTGAAAGAGAAATCTTGTGCACTTATGAGAATTCCTTCTTAATTTAAACACTTCCTACAGCAATGTAACAATGAGAAGGATGTGGCATGGGGTTAAAATACGCTCGAGGTCCAACATTTGTAAATGAATCAACATTAATAAATGTGCGTTTATTGGAAAAAATTTCCTGGTCAGATCACCTATCACAACAAACATATCTTTATGCTCTGGCACGCAGCGATGTCCCAAAATGGCAATTTTTTCTCAACGCCAAATATTTAAAGGCAGTAAAACTTCCTAATTCCTTCATGACGATAATCAACTTCGCCTGGCACGCACATGGATTAGGCGATTCTGAAACGCCACGAGAGTGCTCGTTGAAATCAAGATGTGTAGTTGAGCGGTGTCGCAGAGCACGATCATCGTTATCCTAAAGCTCTCGTCCGAATACTCGATTGTCTCATAACTTCCGGTGTGTCTCTAACTTTTGCGTAACCGCTGTGTGCTTTTCTGTAAAACTCTATGTTCATGAACCATGTAAAGCCGTGATTCAGTGTATTTTCAGGTTCATAGGCTCGTCTGCTACCTGACCATTTAGTCAGTAACTTTCTCTGTGATTCCATAATATATTTGAGGTATAATTTCGCACCTCTTTCATGTTTTCGATATCTAAGAATCCAATCCATCGTCCATAGACGAATTTTTTATGGGTGACACATTAAAAAAATCTATTCACGCCTTCATCTCAGCACAAAGTCAGCGCTCACGATCTGTCATTTGATTTTGGACGGCTAGCAAAAAAGATCTGTTAGGTGAAATCAATTGGAAAAAAGCTTGCGCATTGTAGTTGAGATGTAAGGTGTGTAATGTGCACTAGCATAAATATCAAACTCAAACTTAAAGTCTCGTGAAGATAGGTTGTTTAAGATCTCAGCACCACCATCAAAGGATGCCTAATATTAAACTTATGCCAAGATTCTCCACCTGCTTGGTTAAAAATCGGTCCCAAATTATATTGATTTTTTGTGACTCACAAAACACATGACTGTATCCAATAACCTATGAAATTGAACGGCGTGTAGGTAGTGAGTGGAGATGATATCTCACCTTGCTGGAACCAGCTTTGACGATTAATATTCATTGCGATCCACAACAAAAGTACTCATGTGGAAACGTTCTTATAAAGCTAAATAAAGAATAATGCTCTCGGCATTGATCAATCCGTGAGGGATGCTTCATGCATTCGTCTTCAATATCTAACTTCGTTTGAGGTAATTTAATGCATATCTGGTCTTTACAATGACTCGCGGTGGCCTCCCGCTGAACCGCGTCAGTGCTACTCATCCTCCCAGACAAGTCTGAGACCAGTCTGGTACCAATTTACCGGAGGGATAGATGAGTTGGTGTTGAATGAGAGCTAGATCGAACCATTAACCTCGTGTTCAACGCAGGCACCTCTTACCACGGCGCCACATGCGCTCAAACGTCCTTCTACGAGGCAACGATTTACAGCAGTTTCTATGCCATCGACTTCGGCCTACAACACCAATAGCCAAATTCGATAACTCCACTCTCATTGACGTGATGATGAATTTAGTCTGATAATGGTTTACTGTGAGAGAGCATGTGGCGCAGTGGTTAGAGGTGCCCTGCGTCGCACACGAGTTCACTGGTTCGATCTCGCGCTCATGGCTCACCAAGCCATCCATCCCTCCGGGGTCAGCAAATTGGTACTAGACAGGTCTCAGACTTGTCTGGGAGGATAAGCAGCACTGACTCGGTTCAGTGGGAGGCCACCGCGAGTCATTGTAAAGGCCAGATGTGCATTCAGTCACCTCAAACGAAGTTGAAAATTGAAGTCGAATGCATGGCGCTCCCTCAGGGATTGATCAACGCCGAGAGCTTTATTCTTTTTTTAATGGTTTACTGTAAGCACAATCATTGCATTGTTTTGCTCATTTACTTTATGGATGAGAAGTATCCGTTGCTGTTAAACGCTCAGACAACCGAGTTGAATGAGTGCTAACTGAGCCCACTACCAGACGCGTAGATTAGATTTATGTAAAATTTCTTTGATTCTGACTTTGCATATAATATCGTACTAGTTAGTGACGATAACATGGCCGTCCATCGTTGGCCACTTTTTAAGTTCTCTTCGTGGGTATTTCTCAAGGCCAAGCACTTTGAGGTTCAATTCTTCATTCTTATATGGACAGCAAAAGCAACCTTTCCAAGTCCGTAAAAGCCCAACAAAGTAATAACGCTTCGTGTCTCAATATCAGCTGATCACAAAAGTCTACGTACGGAAACGAAACAGTTCAACGCAGTTTGTCGATTAGGATCTCTCAATAGTGGAACTCTATCCGAATGCGTCCTAATGACGTAACAACGGCGTTGTTAGGTTGAAAATCCCTTCATAAATCGACTAGCCCTTTATAAAGGAATAAAAGACAGCATCGCCTTTCCTATAATGACGTCATTGTTCATTTTTCAATCACCATTGCTGCTGTCATAACACTTAGATTAATCGGGAATAATTCGCAGTTTGTGGTACTTCTTTTACGTATGCATTCTACATGCACGTTCACATATTTATGCTCCAGAAAGGAGATATGTTAGCGTATAAATTGCTTTATATGTAAGATCTGCATAATAGTTCAACTAAGCTTGCCATCAGGTGAGTGAGACGTATCTAAGAGCTGTTTCAGTGTTCAGGCATGCGATACTGGAATCGGTTTGCCGTTATCTCTGCCAAGACAAATTTCGCTGTGAACATCGACTCGTTTCAAATATCAACAATTCAAATTGATCTTGAGGTTAAAAAGATGTGAGATAAGAAGACGAAGTAAAAATATTATTTGGACTCCAAAAAGATTCTATAGGGAGGTCGTATCCTCATTCCACAGCAATGAGACATCGCAAGCTAACCGAAATGTTGTGTGAGCAGAAATGATGGGTTTCCTTGAATTTTACTGACTTCAAGAAAGATCTTATACTTAGACGGGACAGAAGCTACTATGTAATTCATAGAAGAGACTAACAACTTCTCTGTCTTGTAAACAAGGACCTTTCATCTTTTACCCCATAACGTCTACGGCATTATAGCTTTCATCTTTTACAAGGACCTTTCACCTTTCACCTCATAACTTCTACGGCATTCTCTTTGAGATCACTTTTCAAGCTCGTTGGGTTTTTAGACCTTTTTTTGTTTTGGTGAGCCGAACGATAGCGCGGTGATCTCAATAAACCAGTCCGCTACACTCCACCTGATTACTGATTACTACATAAGTAATGATTTCAAGGTGACGTTGTGATTGGACGGCATGTTATGAACTAAATTCACATAGTGTATTTAGCTCATTAGATTGGAGTTCTTACTGATGTGATGAAAAGATTTCCACTAAGCGACAATTTTTCAACAATTTTTTTTTTGAGTTGTTGTGTTTCTAGACCGTGATGTTGAAATCGGGACGATACAACATAAAAGTGGTAGTCGACTACGTGCCGCTGGAACACATTTGTCTTCCGCTTCCCTCATAAAATGTTCAACGCCAAACGCAGAAAAGTACTTTTGATTTTCATTGCGTTTATGGGAAAATCGGCGCTCGGTCAAATTTTAATGAACTGATGTCCTTTAAGATTGGCTTTATCTCTGATGTGTCATTTACACTTAACGGGATAAATATCACCAAATGCTCCAGCTATATGTACCTCAGTCAAAACTTCAATCAGCATCGGGAACGCAGAGAATTTGGTAACAAACAGCCGACATTTGATCATCCTTTGGAACTTCTCAGTGTTTCCATTTTTTATGTACGCCTTGGATCTGGACGCTAGAAAGATGATGAAGGAGCAATCGGCGTTATGGAAATACAATTGTGTAATCTAATTCGCACAAATATTCGAAATATCTTGATCAGCATGGTAATCAAGTATCAAGGTGCTTCCTTAACGCTGCAGTGGTCATTTATTCGAGAAGACAAGTTGTGGCACTCGGCTTGAGTCGCCCAAGACTTCAAGGTGATTTGCCTCCGGGTGACAAGTGGGCTTTTCATGCTGTTTGTGAAATTTCGCACGTAATCCCAATTAGTAGAGTGTGGTGTTAATTTTTTCAAAAATAGTTTAGAAATGACTCACTCTACTACACCGCCTCAAGTGGTTACGTCTTTCGAAACCAGCTCCTCCCCCCTGGTCTATGTCATAAATTACGGCTCTCTACGTGAACAACGGGCCTGACGCGACAGCCCTCCTTGTCATAAGCCCATGCTCCTCATTTCCTGACATACAAATGTACATTTCTATTTCTCTACTTCATTCATGGCTGTTGTTTACATACTGAGGCGTTTTTTTCTCATTTGTTATTGATGGTTGAGTCAAGAGCTGTGTTAGAATATTGCTTTCGAATGATTTTGATCGAACTACGCGTTTAAGACACTTTTATTGGATAAAATCCACCATCCATTGCTGGTTATTAACTAGAAATGAGTTGACATTAATAACTGGTTTCTTTACGTCGTTCAACACATTCATCTTGCAGTAATCTTCAGTGGAAAATAATCGCCTCACAACAATATGAGGTCACGTGAGACATAAACCGTGTCAAATATTCTACCCCTTCAAATTATCATTCACTCGTCCATGATAATCCATAGTCAACTTTATTAACTGAGATAGTGACTG